ACCCTTCGTTCAACACTTGTTTACAACAAATATCATTTAACTTTATACATTCTCTCTATTCATTTACTTTACTTTTTAACTAACTTTCCAAAAATACCCTAAACTATTTATCATTTTTTCAACAAAATATTTTTTTTTAAATTTCCGTACCGAGCCCAAATAAATTAATTTTAATGGGCGGAGGGAGTATAATTTAAAATATTTTAAATCCAAAACAAAGGCTGAAAATCCACATTTACGTTTTAGAATAATCTATTTTGGGTGTCCCGTAAAAAATGGTCCAATGGTATTAAGAATAGCAATGACGGATTCTTATGTCATAAAAAAATAATATATTTTAAATTTGTTCAGTATGTATTTGTATTTTGAGGTTATATATAAAATGATTATTTGATATAATATTTTATATGAACATTGATATATTTTATAAAGAATTATGTTGCATGCTAATTTATTTATCTATTTATATTTGAAAGAAAGCCTTTGTTATGTCTACAAATGTATAACTATTGATTTTTCTTGTATTTTCTATTTGTAGTTATGTATTTCCTATTCCAAAGGAATTGTATTGTCCAATGCTAGATATGTGTTGTATGATTTGTGGTCCCAATACTTTAAATAATCAATTAATACTCTCTCTGAAATTCAAATTTATGCTCATTATTTTTTTGGGTTATTGAAAAATATTTTGTTTCTTTTTTAAGTAAAAAATTATTATATTTTTTGTATTTTTTTTTACTATAAAAGGAAAAAATAATAATTATTACTCACTTTTATTAAAATTTATGCTCAGTCAAAGGAGCACACGTTTGCATGACGGAGGGGGTATAATTATACCATACTTAGGATTGCATATAAATTAGATTTATAAAGTTAAATATTATTGATTGTGGTGTGATGGAAAAAACATTTTCCAAACTTTATACTTCAAATTTAGGCTTGCAACATCAAGAGAATAATAATACATCTATGTATCATAGCTCATTCTAACTTAATTATTGTGAAAAATAAAGAAAAATTCTGTTCAGTAGATTAAAAAATAATAATATTTTATTAATTAGTAAAAATATAAAATTATTTTGATATTTTTGTCCTTAAAGGTACAAATAAAATGAATATTTTTATAAAAAATAAAAGTATTTTAATATTTAGATATTATTAGTTTTATTATAATTGGAAATAGATAATCTGAGTAGTACGGACAAAAATGGTAAAAAAAAATATATATTGACTTGAGATAGATGTAGTAAAAAATTATGATTTGACACCAATTTTAGTTCTTTAAATATATATATATATATTGCCTATATATATATATTGTCTATTAGTTCTTTTATTTATTTTTAATTTTTTAAAGATAATATTAATTGTAAATATAAATAGTAGTTTAAAATAATACATAAAATAAAATATTGGAAGAATATTTTTTTTGGGTACAAAATAAATTTGTGAATTAGAATAAAAATATTGTAATAACTATATTTTTTGAGTTGAAACTGCTTAAATATAATTTGTGAGTTCCAAATACCTAATGTGTTATTTAGTTCACTAGTTTTTTGTGACCCATTTTCTTGTATGAATAATGGATTCTACAACTTAATGCATATCTATTTATTCTTATAGTCTAAAAAAATTAAAAAAAATTAGTCGTATGATGTGATATAAATAGTTGTATGATGTGATGTTTTGAATGTAAAATTGATTTTTAGTATAATATAAAAAATAAAAAATAGGTATTTGATTTGATGTTTTTGAAGGGGGAAAAAAATGGATGAATAGTGGATTTAAAATCCAATCCCCAAACAAACAAACCACGAGGGATTTAAAAAATAAAAAATAAATGTTTGATTTGATATTTTTTAATAGTTTTTTATGAATTTAATTTTTATGTTAGGTGTAAAAAATTGAGTTGGTAATACAAAGAGAATAACATATTTGTGTTAACTTATTAATTTTTTGAATGAATAAAGTGTGTATATTATATATATTGTCATAATGTATGTATAAAATTTGTCCTTTTTATATATATTTATGGGAAAATGTGAATGGTAAAAACTATATGAACAAACATATTATCTATTTTATCTCACAAAATATCATTCTTCTATTAAATACTAATTTTTTACTATTTTTAAAATTCTTCAAAACTCAAAACCTCCAAAATACTTGTCTAAACAAAGATACAAATACTATTATTTTCACTTGAAGTTCGAAAAAAGAAAATTGTTAATAAGTCAGCTCGATAATTAAAGTTTTGGTAGAATATTACAAAGAATTTAAGATAAGATACGTGAATATATTTGTAAATTAATTATAATATATCTCAACTATCATATACTTTATATATAATGTTGTATAAATTAGATAGTTACATATTTTGCCCAAATAATTTGAATTTAAATGATTGTTTAATATATCAATATTTTGATTTAGTATAATATTCTTGACTATTCTTATTTTGTCCGATAATAAGTATGGGTTTGTTTGTTTAGTTAAATGGTTCCAAGAGATTATTTATTTATTTATTTATTTATTTTTATGTGAAGTATAAGACATTATGTGAGTAATATAAAAATAATATATATATATATGTAATATACTCCCTCTGGTCCATTTCAGAAGAGTATTTTGGGGTTATGTGGGGTTATTTAGTAGATTAAGAAATAATAATATTTTATTAGTTATGTAAAAAGTTTTGACATTTTTTTCTTTAACTTTATGTATAAAGTAATTGTATGTATAATGATATGTTTGTAATTTGAGTAAAATTAAAAGTATTTTAGTATTAATGTATGATTACATTTTCTAAAATAGGAAATAGATACTTTGAAATGAAATGGACGAAAAATGATAAAAATAATATTTTGAATTACGTACTCATAGAGTATTATTATTAATTTTTTTTTTTTGAAAATATGTATTTCACTAAAATAATACACCCTGATCTTTAATTTAATATAATATTCTAAATAAAAAAAAAATCATGTTCAAATATAATATATCAAATAAAAAATAATTCGATGATGCAATATTTTTTTAAGAGAGTAACAAAAATAAATTATTGTGTATCAATAGTGAAAAAAAGTCCTTGAAAACACAATCAAGCATATTTCTTCACTAACATATGTCAAATATGAATTAAACATATTCAATTAAAAGAAAGAACACCTCAAAATTAGGAATGTGTTCATAAAAACACTATCAAAATAAATATTCAAATAGAAAACTTATACCTAATAAATAACATGATTTAATGACAAAAATTTATGTCAAGCTCTTGTAGGTAAATTCAACATGTGATTCAATAACCCAATTAAGCAAATCCCCAAAACAAATACTACGTCCGTCCGCCTCCAAGGGTCACATTTATCTTTTGCATCATAATACTTAACATTAAAAATATTTTTATATTTGTATATTTTTTTTTTGTACAAATGTCATTTTATAAGATATTAATGGAAGTATTTTTGCAATTTTTTATTAATTTATACTATATTTTGATATAATAATTAATATTCAAAGATCAACACACAAAAAGTAAATAAGATCTTTAGAGCCAGACGAATGTAGTATATCTAAATAAGTTTGTCACTTTCGAGTTCACTCAGAAAAGAATAGTTGTTGTCAATCTCAAAAATCTGATTTTCACAGTCGGATTTCATGCTGACCAGATCAAATTATCATTATGCTTGTTAGATCCAGTCAGTGCGTAAAATATGTCTCACAAACATAACAACACATCATAATAAAATACACAAATACTTCTCCCGTCTCATATCTATCTATCCATTTACCTTTTTGCACGGAGTTTTAACAATATTAGTATTATATTGAGATGCAGTAGAAATAAAGGTAAAAAGACTAAACTACCCTTATTAGTATTGCATTATATAAAGGTAATGACATTTGTGTAATATATTGTAAATTTGAAAGATATTTGTAATATTAAGTAGATAGTACAATTACTTTAAAAAAAAAAAAGAAATAGATACTTTGTTACAAGAGTATATATTATAAAACCAAATGATATATAATACAATAGTCATCACTATATATATATATATTAATTTTCAGTACAATACAATATATAATTGAATACTATGTTATTTGCGTTGATTTTTTGTGTTGATTAGATTAAACTAGCATTCAATTTAGTGCTGTAATCGCTGTCATTCTTGCATTAATTCTAAATTAATTAGAACATGCACACAAACACAAACCTGCAAAACCTCCAAAATAAAATAAAATCTCCTGTAAATAAATAAATAAATTAAATCCCATAAAATTCAGAACCTGAAGAAAACCCTAATTCTGAGACCTATAAGTTGAGATAGATACCAGAAATGGTGTGTAGTGATTAGGGCAGATGACTAAAAATGACATGACACCAACACAAAACAAAGGGAAACATCCCACAATATACATTTTACTTTCACTACCCCACCCCACCCCACCCCATATTACATACACCAACATTAATCAATTAATTAATTTAATAAAAAATATATATATTATTGGGAAAATAAATAAATAAATAATTAAGAGGAAAGGTCATGTCACGACACTAGACAACTCGCTCTCAAATCTCTGCATTCTGAAAACATGTAAGATAGTCATACTGATTATACTTATACCCCCTTACCCCCCCACACCCCACCCCACCCCACCCCGACCTGCCTGCCCGTAGCAATAATTCACTTCAATTCTCTTCTTCCTTATAGAGAAATGTATACATGCAGTGTATGAATGTGCGTGTATATATATATATATATATGTATGTATAGACACAATACAACAAAAGGAACAAGAAGACACACATACTCTATCTACACATTACCACTGAGAGTGATCTTTACTTTGATTCATTTATTTATTTATTTAATTTCCTTTATACTACTATTTGTTAGCTTATAAAAATCTTTTCTTTTTTTTTTTTTTAAAAAAAAAATTGATTGATTGATTTATTTATATTTTTTAACTTTCTGCTGCTTTCTCCCCGTTTCCATAGCCTCTGGTGTTGGGGGGAATTCCTCCGCCTTCACCTCTTCATACACGCAGTAAAAACACGTATACATATAGACATACATATACATACAGGCTAATATCCCTACTCTCTCTGTCTTTCTCTCTCTAACCCATTCTCTCTCTCTCTCTCTCTCTCTCTCTCTCTTCATGAGATAAGAGCTGTTTCTGTTCTTCCGCAGCACCATCTTTATATGCTGCTGCATATTTTCATTTCTATATAATTCCCAGCAGCGAAAAGATTGCCTGACCCTCAAAGAAAGGCCCCTTTTGCGTGATCTTCAAAAATCATTAAAACAAAAAGAAAAAAAGGATCGAGAGAGAGAAAGATTATCGTCTCATCATTAGGCAAAGGCAGAAAGAAAGGGAGGGTGGGGGGGGTGGGGGTGGGTGTGTAAGCAAGTAACTACGTACAATGATTCTTGATTTATATATTTTTTTAATTTTTTTTTTTGTTAGGGAATGGGAAAAAAGGTAGGAAAAAATTGAGGGGGTGAAATTAAGGCAAGGCAAGATCCAAGGTTTGTTTCTCAGAAGCACACAAGCCAAAGTGGGGAAAAATCTGAAAAGGGAGAGGACAAAAAGAAAAAGAAAAAAGGTAATGTTTGACCGCAGAAATCGAGGCAATTAAAAAAATAAAAATAAAAATCAAATCTTTTTTCATCATCATCATCAGAAGCAAAGAAGGAAGAAGAAGAAGAAGAATTACAGGCGTTTTAAACAACTTTTGTTCTGTCTAGGTATATGCTATTTTTCTCATTATTTATTTATTTATTTAATTTATTTTGTCATTCTTTTATTTTATTTTTCTCTTTTTTGGTGTTTTTCACACTTCTGCTGCACGTACGTGCATATATTTTTTAGTTCTTGTTTGAGTGAGTGTGTGAGACTAAAATACATATTGCAGTAGAGAGACAACTGGCTTACTTTCAAAAGTCTCATTTTCACAGGTAAGTTTCAAGTAATCTACTTCTTGTTTGTTTGTTTGTTTTTTTTTTTTTTTTTTGTGTCTCCCTCTCCTCTCTCTCTCTCTCTAAAGGTATAGAGATATAATATTACAGCACCCTTTTGTTTTTTTTGTTTTTCACTCACTCACATGTGAGAATGAAAGAATTCTAAGCAAGATCTGCTTGAAAGACTAACATTGATATCAGTGGCACATTAAAAGGAAGAAAGTAATAAAATATACCATATAAAACTCTCACTTTCACCAGATCCAATTCCAAAATCTTCCTTTCTTTAACTTTAAAATCAAGAAAAATAAAAAAAAAATTTAAAAATTAAAAAACCCCTAGTTGCAATATTTTCCATCACCCCACATCACTACAAAGCTTTCTTCAATGGCCTTAGCTATCATCTGTGTAGAAAAACAAATTCACAAGTGGGAATGATTTTTACTGATTTTGGGGTTTTCTCACTTGTTTATGATAGCCAAGAATCAGAATTTTTCATAATCAGTGTATATATTCTTCAATAAGGAGAAATTTTATTTAGATTTTAGAGAGAGAACCCAATTAATTTACCTTTTTTTGTATATATATTTCTGTGTTTTTGGATTGGCAGATCGTGGGAGGTGAGGCATACATATATAAAGAGGCAGGTTTATTATCGAGTTAGCATTGCATTAATTAATTTTGATGATTTGACCAGAGATGGATATGATCATCAGATCAGATTACTTTTTGCCTGTAACTTTCCATCTCTATTTCAATGGTGTTTTGGTTCTTCAAAGCTGTCAATGATTTGCTTGTCTAATCTTATGTCTTTAAAGCCTATCTGCCTCAATCATGGCCTGCCCTCATCATATTTCATTTATTTCCTTCCCTCTCCTAAAATTGAGAAACACACACACATATATATATATGCTCGTAAAATTGTTCATAACTTTTACGGGGTTTCGAAATTTAGTATAAAACTCCACCGTCACGAAAACTCTGTTGTATGATGAGAAGATTATTTGCTATCTGTGTATTTTGATCTGTGTATTTTGCATGACAGGAGATTTTATGTAATATTTTTTAAAGTATAAGGAGGGCGCTATACAAATTTTTTAAAGTAAAGTAGGGATTTACGCCTAGTTTTAAAACCAGCGTGGGGTTTCATGTAATATTTTTTAAAGTATAAGAGCACGTCATGCAATTTTTAAAATAAAAGAGGATTTATGCTGATTTTCGAAACCACAAAAAAATTACGAGCAATTTTGCCATATATATATATAATAAAAATTAGGGCTTTAATTCTCTGCTCCAACACATGTTCTTGCATCAAATTCTTCACAATTTTCATTTCTTGATTCTATCAAAGGTCTCCGAAGAGAGAGATTTTGAAAGAAAGGATCTCAGGAATGGCTTCATCGTCAACCTCGCCGTGCGCGGCGTGCAAATTTCTGCGGCGGAAATGCCAGCCGGAGTGCGTGTTCGCGCCGTACTTCCCGCCGGACCAGCCGCAGAAATTCGCCAACGTGCACAAGGTGTTCGGCGCCAGCAACGTGACGAAGCTGCTGAACGAGCTGCAGCCGCACCAGCGCGAGGACGCCGTGAACTCGCTCGCCTACGAGGCCGACATGCGGCTGCGCGACCCCGTCTACGGCTGCGTCGGCGTCATCTCCCTCCTCCAGCACCAGCTCCGGCAGCTGCAGATGGATCTCAGCTGCGCCAAATCGGAGCTCTCAAAGTACCAGAACCTCGGGATCTCCGGCCACGGCCTGATCGCGCACCACCAGGGGATCAACTTACTCGGCGGCGGCGCCGCCCGCGACCACCACCACTTCCACCACCAGCTCTTCCCGGTGAATCAGCAGCAGGTGATCCGGGCCTTCGACGGCGGGAATGGATACGACGCCGGTAGCCTCCTCGCCGTGAACATGTCGGCCAGCATCGGACAGCTCGGCGGATTCCAGCAGTCGAGGACGGGGGCGGCGGCGGACGGCCGCCGGACGCCGGTTGAACCGTCTTAGGGTTTTGTGGAGAAATCCGGCGGTACGGAAGAAAGAGGTCACCAGTGGGATTATAATATATATATATAGGTAATTAATTAAATTAATTAATTAATTGCTTAAATTAGACACTACTTTTAAAAACTAAAAACACTTGTTTAAATTAATTATTGTTGTTATTCGATCTTTATTACTATCTCTATCTCTTGTTTAATTTATCACCTTTTTTTTTTTAATTTAACATATATATTTATAATTTTATGTGTCTTTTTACACCAATTTCTCTTCATGCTTTTTCATTTCTTATTTCCCTTTTATTTTTTGAAGGGAAAATATATTGATAGTTAATATTTTGTAGTTTTAATAAATTGCTTATTTTATTTTTGAGGGATTATATACAAATATATATATATTTATAGCATTTATATTTCATTGATTAATATATCTTATATATATCAATGGTTATGGTGCTGATTTAGATGTCGATTCATTCTATTAGTATGTCAAAAATACATGCAACATATGTTATAATTTATCGTAGCATAAGATTATATATTAACATAGTACAAAAACCGACAAGCTATGCATGATAATAATCTACGAAGCATATGTCACAATTTATTTCGATATATATCACCTATTAATATACTACAATATATAGTATTGAGCACATAGTATTTTATTTTAATTATGTATTGATTTGATATTTTAAATTTTAAATTAATATAGTATTTATTATAATAAAAAAAAAGAAGAAAATTATGTATTTGATTTAATATTTTTTTAAAAAAATAATGAATAATAGTTGGCCTAATCACTCAAATTCCGCTAAATGTTTTTTGTTAAGACATTTTTATATTTATTGTGTATTTAAGATATTAAAAAATAAAGCTTATTATCAAAATGGGAAAGTGAAAACTAATAATATATTATTCGATATGACGGCAGATATGATTTTGAATTTTAAAATTTAAGGTCGTTCTGAGAGCACATAGTATGCTAATAAACAACATATTATTTATATTAATATAATACAAATACAATACACGATATAGTCTTATATATTATATATAATAATTGATTTTAGTACAAGATATATTTTTATATATCTCATATAATTATAAACAAATATAGCATATCATCATTTTATAAGGTCAAATAGTTAAGGGTTTGTTTCCATATATTTTGAGGGGGGTTTTGGGGTGTGTTTCTTTTTTCTCTCTCTTTTTTTTTTTTTTTTTTTTTTTTTTTTTTTTTTTGCATTACAATATATATATATATTCCTTCATATTATTTCACAAATAAAATAAAATAATAATAATACACCCTTGAATTAAATTTTTGAATGTGATATTAAATGTTTCTAGACATAAAATTATTTTAAAAATAAAATTAAGTGTCTAATGTGACAGTTTTTAATAAAACAATAAAAATAGAATTGAAAATACAATTAAATGAATTCTTCGAAGTGAAAGGATCAAAAACAGTAGAAGAAAACTCACCAAAAATAGTTAGTGACGGAAAATTCGACCGATACAATCGATTAATAGAAATAAAAATAGAAATAGAAATAGAAATAGAAATTAAAATGCGACATTTAAAATTACCGAAGAAACATATATACATTCTAATCCTCTTCAAGGTATAAATGTAAACAATGATAAATTTATGAACACTTATAATATATATATAGATAGATAGATCGATAGTATATAAATTATGATGTAATAATGAATTAATTAAATTATAATGAAAATAAAAATGAGAAATTAAATACTCCATCCGTTCCACGTCCCACGTCCACATTGTCATTTTTATCCGTCCCACGTACCATGTCACTTTCCTTTTTTGAAAAATGATTATACAGTTTAATCTATTTTAAACTTTTTAATTTTATTTTTTATTAAATTTTAAATAAACTAATTAGTTATCTTAATCTTAATTTATAATTATTTATATTATAGAATAATTATTTTCACTAATACATTATTAATTACCTATTAATTACACTCTTCTTAAAATATAGTGTCTACGGTATAGCAGACGGTACGTGGGACGCATGGAGTAAATAAGTAGAAAGAAAGAGGTGAAGTGTTTTGTCCTGAAGCTGTTAGGAAATTAATGGCATTATTGAGGAGATCCTAACAACTAGACACACTACATCACCCCTTGTAATTTAATGCTATTCAATTATTGGATTTAATTTAATTTAATTTAATTTACAACTTTCTTTATTTATTTCAAATAATGATATGTTTTAAAAAATTTTATATATATATATATATATATGGGTGAGTGTGCTGTGTAATTCACATTTAGCTAGGATTTTAAGTATAAAGAGTAAAAAATAAAGGGTGTGTTCTTCTTTTAATAAACAAAACCTTATTTTTTGATATTTTTTGAGGTTAAAATAGATATAATGAAAAATATGTTTAAGATATAATATTTTAAAAAAATAAAATACTCCCTCCGTCCCAGATACCGTGTCTGCTACACTGGAAACACGGTATTTTAGAAATGGTGCAATTAGTAGATAATTAATAATGTATAAGTGAAAATAATTATCCTATAATATAAATAATTATACATTAAGATTAAGATAACTAATTAGTTTAATTAAAATTAAAAAAAAAAAAAAATTAAAAAATTTAAAATGAGATTAAAGTGTGTAATTATTTTCCAAAAAAAGAAAGTGACATGGTATGTGGGATGGACAGAAACGATAACGTGAACATGGTATTTGGAACAGAGGGAGTAAAATAGTAAAAAAATAAATTGAAAACACAAAAGAACAAATCATTTAATCATCTCATAAAAAGGTTTGGGAACAATATTATAACTTTGATTTGTACTTTAATTATTACTCTTATTTTGTGAGTTTGTTCTTTTGGTGATTTTTTTTTTTTTTTTGAAAAAAAAAATTGTTTTAGTTTTTTGGTTTTAACATTTATAATGTGATATTTTGTGAAATGAATTAATGCATTTATATATATATAAATAATAATAATAAAAATGTACGATTGATTAGTAGACTTTTTTACAAAGAAGAAATAAAAATCATCAACCAAATAAACGCTATGTGTCTTAGGTTTGTTTATTTTGGTTTGAGATTGAATTCATTGTTTTATTTATTTATTTATTTATTATATATATATATGATTGTTGTAAGAAAAAATTATTTAGTTTTATTGAAAAATGTATGTTACATAACATTATGCTTTATATCGTGTTATTATTGTCTTAAATAACATCAATTCAAGAGTTTATAAAACATCGATCAATAATTCAGAAAGCACTGATCAAAATTCCAAAAAATACATATTTTCACTATAGTAAATTATCTGGACTTTTGATCAATACTATCTAAACTATTTAACAATGTTGTATGAAAAAATATGAAATCAGCACAATAAAGTTGCTGTTTTATGATTTAGGTCTTTTTTTTTCATCTTCGTTGTATTGTAGTTTGATTAATTTTAAATTTATTACATTTATAAAAATACATTATTTTGTTCTATAAAATATTGATTTTTAAATTAATATTCAAAGAAAAAGAAAAATAAAATAAAAATAATGGAACAAATTCAAAGAACACACAGGAATAACAAATCTGTGAAATCAAAATTCTTTATCATATTGTTATCAAACAAATTAAATTTAATGTACTTTTATTTTTGGATATCTCAAGGCAAAAATATGAGGAAAACAGGGATATCTTTTCTATATATTTTTGTACTTTTAATATATATATATTTTTTTAACATATTTTTTCAAAATAATTAATACATTACACATATTCATTATTTTTATATTACTTACACAATTCTCTATATCTCATATAAAAAAAATGCTCTTTCAAATTATTTCACAAAACAAATATCATATAAAAAAATATTCTTTCAAATTATTTCACAAAATAAACACACTCATAATTCTTGTATATAATAATTTTTTATATGTAAAAAATAGCTATTGAAATAAAATAATTTTTACAAAAAATAATACTACATTGAATATTACAAAACACTTGTACTAAAAATAATACATCAAATCTCAAGGGTTTTTCTACAAAGAAAAAAAAAAATGCATTTTATTAAGAATAGAAATTATAGAATTCATGTCTATATTTGTATTATGCTTTAGTTTTAATTTAAACATTATTAATTTTACAATATTTTATATAAAAAAAAAATACTCCCTCCGTCCCAAACACCCTGCAATATTTCATTATTTTTGTTTGTCCAAGCTCACTGCAACATTTTCAAATTTAAAAATAATTAATAATATTTTTATACATATGTTAATATATACTTTACTTTAACTCATCACATCACTCAAATAAAAAAAAAACAAATAATCATTTCTCTCTCCAATCACATCACTTAATATCCAAATTATCTCAAATTACCATACTTAATACTCCCGCTGTCCCAGATACCGTGTCTGCTACACTGTAGACACGGTATTTTAGGAGGGGTGTAATTAGTAGATAATTAAGAATGTATTAGTGAAAATAATTATCCTATAATATAAATAATTATAAATTAAGATTAAGATAACTAATTAGTTTAATTAAAATTTAAAAAAATTAAAAATTTAAAATAAGATTAAAGTGTGTAATCATTTTCCAAAAAATAAAAGTGACATGGTACGTGGGACGGACAGAAACGGCAACGTGGACATAGTATCTGGGACGGAGGAAGTACTTCCCACCTAAATTCTCGTGTTAAACACAAATATTGCACGGTGTTTGAGACGGAAGAAGTAATATTTTTTTATTAAAAATCATAAATAATAAATAAATAATTTTGTGTTGCAATCCGAAGCAGGAAAACCATAATAAGAATAGAACAAAGTGTGAATATTTAATTTGTGGTATATATAAGAACATTTAAAAAAAGGGGTTTTCTAAAAAAAATCTTACCACAATAAATGAATCATATGTACATATAAGGCTTCAGCAATAACACCATAAACATTTCAAAAAATATCTTCTACATTTCAAAATATGTCTCAAAATTATTCATTTTTTCCGCCAAATTTAATTTCATTTTTCTTTTTTATTCGTTCATTAAATTTATTTCATTACTATATTTGAAAAAATAAAAAAATCACTATTTAACTATTATCTTCTATTCAATATTTATTTACAATAAATACCACTGATTTTATTATATTTTCTTTAATTATAAATTAAATT